TTGGCAGGACTCACCTTTGAGGCCACACAGCCCACACAGGGCAGCGAATGCTGAGGACTCCATTTCAATGTTCCTTACGCCGGCGTCATAAGCTCTGCTCAAGTACTCCAACTTCTTTTCACTGGAAAAGGAGCACAGTGCACCGTCTAATCTCCCCTGACCTGGGAAGGAAGCAGAGAAGTGTCACTGTTGGGCGTGGCAGGGTCACAGGCACAGGGCATAGGTGCAAACAGAAAGCCCGACAGTGCCCATGCTCTGTCTGAGGCCCACCAAGTTCTCCTTTGAGTAGCTGTTTACTCCTATTCCCCTCCATGTTAAAGCCAGCACGACACACCTCTGTGTAGGGGAGGGAATGATGCAGGTTTCACCACAGGTAAAGGGCCAAGTCAGCCCCCAGGTGTGAAGTGCAGGGGATGTTATCCTCTGTGGGGACAAGCCATCCCCACTCCTGAGGTCCATGGTGCACCTCAGCTGTGAAGGTAAATGCTTACCTGCAGCTGGGCTAACCTGGGACAGTGCTTCAGTTTACTGTTCTTCCTACTTTAATCCTCTCAAATGGCTTTTTGTTTAAATAAAACATGGCCTTGAGCAATACACAGATGGCTGCATCGGCAGGCAGATCTAAGGGTTTATAAATAGTGCTCAGATTATTATTTCTTCACTTATTACATTTAATCTACTCTGCAATCAGTATTTAGTTTTGCAGAGGAAAGGGTTCTAGAGTACCCAAAGTTTGTTCATGTAAATCTGATAGGCAGCCTGACGTTTTCCTAGAGCTGGTAGTTCTGAAGTGACAATCTTGCTGAAGGGAACAGGGCAGGGGCAGACTCAGCAAGGTGCCAGCAGAGGTACTGTGTGTTCTGAGGGTGCCCCTGCTCTGCCTGGGCCCTCACGCGTCGGGTGGGTCCGTTCCTGCCACCCTCCTGGGGACAGTGGGCAGTTCTGTCCATGTGAGAATGGAAAGACTCGGTGTCACATTTGGGGGCAGGAAGGACAGACTGAGGTGGTTTTACCTTCGTAGAAGTCGTAGGTGCACATGGTGTGGCCGATGAGCGTGGGGAAGTCTGCGATCTCCCTGCTGCAGGCGAGGAGTTCCTCTGCCAGCTCCTTGTCCAGCTCGGTGCTTCGCACCACCACGTCACCCAGCACCACCTGCTCGAAGCGTGGCCGGAACGAGGAGTCCACGGCCGTGTCCGTGATCACAACAGACCCGGCCTCGATCCCTGGGCAGATGGAAACGGAGGCTGAGCCGGAGCTCGTAACGCCCGTGACCTGCTGCCAAACTCCAGCGTGACAGGAAGATCTCAATACACTGCCTGGGACTGCAGGGCTGTTCTTTTTGGTGAGTAAAGCAGATGTCAGAGAATAATTGAAATTCATGCAATAGCACAGATGTACAAGTAAAATGTACAGAATCAGCACGAGATGAGTGATTGTGGGAATGTGCTGAGGGACAGGGTTTCAACTGCTTCTGGCCTGCAGAGATGGTGTCCCTCCACCAGCTTGTGCAGGAGTGAGCTGCAACACTCCTCTGGCCAGAGATCACAGATTTATTTGGGTTAGAAAAGCCCTCTAAGATCATGAGGTCCAGCTGTTCCCCAGAACTGCCCAGGCCACCACTAACCCATGTCCCCAAGTGCCACATCCACATGGCTTTTAAATCCCTGCAGAGATGAGGACTCCACCACTGCCCTGGGCAGCTGTGCCAGGGCTGGACAGCCCTTTGAGGAATGAAATTTTTCCCTAATATCCAACTTAAACCTCCCTGGCTCAAATTGAGGCCACCTCATCTTGTCCTCTCCTTTGTTCCCTGGGAGCACAGCCTGACCTCCCCCCTGGCTCCACCTCCTGTCAGTGAATTGGAGGGAGTGAGAGGGTCAGTCCTGAGCCTCCTTTTCTCTCCAGCTCCCTCAGGCACTCCTGGTGCTCCATCCCCTTCTCCAGCTTCATTCCCTTCTCTGGACACACTCCAGCCCCCCCGTGTCCTTCTTGTCCTGAGTGCCCAGAACTGATCCCAGGACTGGAGGTGCCTCAGCAGTGTCTGCACAGGGGACGGTCACTGCCCTGGTCCTATTGCCACACCAGTGCTGGCACAAGCCAGGATACTGGGGATATTTGGAGACCTGACAATGGTAAAGCTCAGAACTGCATGACCTATTGCTGGAATTTGTTTTAATAAAGCTGTTTTGCTCTGAAGGAAGACCACGAATCGCTTACCTAAGCCTCCCGAAGTACCGATGC